CTTCTGAGCAAGGAGAGCGAGCGGGCAGCCCGGGTGGGGTAACACCAGCAGCCCCGAGGGTGTCTGTTAGTGCGGGTCGAGGGAAGGGACAGGAGGGTGCTGTGGAGTCGGGAGAACCCCCCGAGGCTGACATCCCTGTGGAGCCTGCAGGAGACGAGCCTGCAGGTAAAAAAGCGGTCAAGCACATCAAAGGAGAAACCCCGAGACTGGGTGCAGAAGGTCCAGTTGGTCCAGAAAAAACAAGTGAAACTGAGCTAAAACCTTCCCAGAAACAGAAAAGCAAGAAAAAGAAAGCGAAGCAGATTGGTATCCCAGGAGACCGCACTCAGCTGGAGAAATCTGTGGAAAAGCAGTCCTTTTCTTTTCCGATTTCCAGAGATATTCCAGGGAAGGAGGAGGAGGACTTTGTCTCAAACACACCAGAACCAAAACATGAAACCCCCACCAGGATTACTGCTGGCTTGGTGAGGGACGCAGCCGGGCGCACGGGGAGCAGCAGGGACGGAAAGGCGATTTCTGAGAGAGGTGAAGGAAACCTCGCTGGGGGTCAGGTGTTCCCTGTTCCCCCAGGACAAGGGGAAGCTCGAGAGGTGATGAAAGGTGGGATCAGAAATGGTCACGACTCCTCAGTGACATCAAGGCCGGAGCAGGGGGTGATGCAGGAAGGCACCAAGGTGGAACCCACCAGTGACGTGTCCGTGGCAGCCCCTGCAGCAGATGAACTGCCCGATGAATTAATCATCAGAGAGGAACCCAGAGAAGTTCAGGAAATCTCTGCAGTTCTTGAGCTCAGAGAAGAGACACAGCAAGAGCAAACTGTGGAGATCAGTACAGGCCAAGGAGGTGCCCCTGTGCCCCCAAAATCCCAGGGAGAAACACCCCAGGAGAGGACCAGGCAGCTGCCTCCGGGCGAGCGGGGCTTGCTCTTGCCTGTGATAGTGGAGGGGGAGCTGCTGGAAACCTCGAGAGAATCCACGAGACCAGCCCAGGTAAATTGATGCTTTTTGCTATTTTGACATTTTTTTATGAGCTATTTGTGTAGGTTTGATGATAAATCTGTCCGAGGTCCTCAGCAGAGAGGACAGCCAGAACACGAGGAGGGGATGTGTGAGCTTGATGTTACAGCATCAGCTGCAATGGATTTGGCAAAGGACCCGGTGATGTATGACTGAAAACACTCAAGGCTTAGTTGTGGCTTCTTTTTGCTAGAGCATTACTTATAAATGACTAATAAGTAGGACTCTCTTTTTGGCACTTTTATTGTAACACCAGAGGTCTCTTGCCATTTATAAGCTTATGTTGGAAAAAGAGCCATGTGTTCTATTTTTCCTGTAGTAAATCTTGTAGATAAGACTAGCGAGTGGAAAGTCCCTGAAATGGAATGTTGTTAACAAATTTCTTCTTTGAAAAAAAGAATAATACGTAATCCTTTGTTTTCTTTTCTGTCTAAATCTGAGGTTTTTGTTTTACTGTTTGATTCTGTAGATCATGTTCAGCAAGAAGATGTGTCTGGAGCACGATGAGAAGCTGATATCATATCTCTCCATGCTCCGAGATATCGAGATGAGAATCAAACGGGTGCAGCCAGCAGAGCAGAATTTGGCCGCCCTGCACAACCTGCTGCAGCAGGCAGAGGTGAGCGAGGCTGGGCCAGGCTTAGCTAGGCTTGGCTGGCGTTTGGAGGACAGAGCTCATCCCCCTCTCCCCAGCTTCGTGCACAGCCGTTGCACCTCCTCCCTGCTTCTGGGAGCCAGCCAGGGAGGCTAGTCTCAGGTTTAACAGGCATTTAGATGCAAACCCCATCCCTCCCCGCTCTGGCACTGCCTCTGGCTCACCTTCTCCTCCCTGCTTAGACAATAACCTAAGCTTGGCTGAAATGAATTTTACAGCTTGGAGAAAGACAAGGGAGTGCTGGCAGCTGAGCAGGGCTGGAGGATGGTGATGAATCTTTCTAGCAGATAGACGCGGTGTTTGGAGCTGGGTCTCCAAAACCTCTTCTCAGTTTTGGCAGCGGGAAGATGAAGTCACCGTGTCTTAGACATAACGATGCTGTCTTGCCTCAGGCCCTGGGCGCTGAGCTGCAGGAGCTGAGCTTCCCAGTGAATCAGGAGTTGGATGCTGTGAAGTGGATTGTGGCCAACCCCCCTGAAGAAGTCCCTGAGCAATTACTGAAGGCTTTGGAGAAGGATGCCAAGAACCTCCAGAAGTCTCTGAGCTCTGCGAGTGATGTCCTGGAGTCCCGGCTGCAAAACCTTCGTGGGGCAGCAGAAAACGAAAAGGTAGAGCTGGCAGCTGTCCCCGCTGCCTGCTGCGCCCCGAGCAACCCAACGCTCCTTCCCCGGAGCGCTCTGCTCCTTCTTTAAATGATGCATTTCTGCTTTTAAGGCTAAAATCCTGGCTCATCACGAGACTCTGCAGGGCAGGCTCCAGGAGCTGCTGAGCTGGGTCTCTGGCACCGCAGAGTCTCTGGACAGCCGCGATTACCACCACGCGACTGATGCCAGCAGCTTGAGTCGCTGCCTGCAACACTACAAGGTAACCATGGCAATGACCCTAATCCTGCCTGGTGAAGTTGCTGTCCTCTGTGCAGAGGAGAAGCTTTTAATCCTGCCTCCCTCCTGGAGCCTACCAAGGGTTTGCCCTCATGCTTTGTTGCAGGAGGAGCAACGATATTGCACTTGCTCCAAAGTCCTTTGTTTGCACAATACACAAACCATCTGCTTGGGCTGTTTGGGGAACGGGCTCAAATACAGGTGTGTGGTGGGGGCTGAGTGACCAGGAGGGATTCCTGTCAGGCTGTTGAGCAGAGAGCTGCTTCCTCCTCTGAGAGCCCATCACACCTGCCCTGGCCTCCAGCAACTGTATGAGGAGCCCCAGCTCCCCTCCACATTTGTTCATCATCTCATGGTAGCCAGTTCAGCATCTCCAGTTTGCTGGTAGCACCCTGGCATGGAGGTCAGGGGATTGAAGGCTTTGAGAGGTGGTGGTGGCACAGGGAGTCACCAGGGATGGACGGGGCTGCTGGCAGCTCCAGGTCTGGGTCATCTTCAGACCCAAGGGCAGCCCTACACGCAGGGTCCAAGCAACCTCTTGGCGAGGTGCTGGAGGTGCAGAGGAGCGTAGGAAAAGTGCTGCGGTGAGATGCTGCCACCTCGGTGCTGAGCGTGCTGCTGGGAGCATTTGAGGTTTCTGGAATATATTCTGGTGACAAAGAACTTATTCTGGGTGCACGCTGCTGCCTGCCCGTATGTCCTATCTGAAGCTGGCAGTGCAGGAGAGCGCTGGCTGCCGAGTCATTTTACTGACAGGTCTTTTCTCTCCCATTCAGGAGCTGAAAGAGCCCCTCGCTGACACCAAGTCTCAGCTTGACGCCACTGCCTTCGACATCCAGTTCCTTATCTCAGAGCACGCCCAGGACTTAACCCCTCAGCAGAGCAGGCAGCTGCTGAGGTTGCTCAATGAGCTGCAGAAAGCTTTCCGGGACCTGTCGGAGCGCGTGACGGCGCGGGTGGAGGTCCTGCAGGTCTGTCTCCAGCAAGTGGAGCAGACGGATCAGGTGAAGGTTGTGAGACATCTGCTTCCTGGCTGCAGTTTGCTCGCTGAAGCGCTTCCCAGCCACCAGAACGTGCGCTGAGACACCTCGTAGTTGGGATTTCATGTGCATGCTACTCACAGTTTATGACTTCTCATTGCACATCATGAGCTTCCTCTAAAGTCTTTCCTCTTCCTACCACGTAACTCCCAGGTGGAAAGTCACTTTCCTCCCAAAAGATGAAGCCCACCCAAGGTCTGGGTAGCACAGCCGGGCAGTCCTCTGCTAGACATCAAGTTGCTTTGGGCTGGGTGGAATTACCCCTGGTCTCTGTAACCCCACCAGAAAATCCCCGTGCAGCGGGGCCACCACAGACACCTGGCAGTTTTAATGTCTTTATTTCCACTGCACGAGTCAGGTCTTGGTGTCCCAGAGAAACAGCTGATGAGGTATCAAGGCAGGTGGCAGCTACAAAAGCAAGTCCTCCAGTCTCTGCTGTGTTGCTGCAGCACCCATCACTGCATGGATCCTCTTATCCAAGAAAGGATTAATGTGGTTTTTATTAACAGTTGCTCTCTGTAACTCTTGCTTGTCCTCTCTGGAGTGTGTGTGTATATTAACCAGTTTGCTTTGCTTTTTCAGATTGAGTGTGCACCCATCCTAACCCAGGAAGAACTCGCTTTGCAGCTGAAGAGCTCTTAGGAAGGCTCTTTCAATTTGCTTCTGTTGTTTATCTTATGACTGGGAGAAACAGAGTGTTTTGCACAAGTTTGTACCTCACCTTGCTGAAATGCCCAGTGAAACTCAAAAAGCCTTTGTCTCCCTTGGGAAAGGGGAACAGGAAAATGTTGCAGGGACTCTCAGGTCACATCATGCTCAATTGCTCAAACAGGCGCTTCTGTATTGTGCTCTGGCAGCAAAACAGAGAAGCTGGATCAGCTACAGAAACGTTTGCTCTCTCCCAGGCTCCCTCTCCAACCCCAGGATCAAAAAAAAAACCCAGCCTACTTAGGTTGTTTGGGGCTCCACAGTGGTGCTACCTGACCTCAGGTTGTTGTCGCCTCTCATTTGATGAGTTTCTGCTGCAGTTTTAATGTTTGAAAGTTTGAACGGAAAAGGCAGAGAAACTTCTGGGTGAGCTCTCCCGGGAGAGGAGCGCGTGACCTGGAGCGTAGCTCCACGTTGGAGCTCAACGGGCTTCTGGAAGAGAAACCTGCTGGAATGGTGGCAAACATGCAGGGAGCAGCCTGTGCTCCGCAGGGACTCGGCCCCTCGGCCCCTTCCCGCAGCGTGTGAGCCTGAGAGGGAGAAGGAGCACGTGGAGAGCTGCAAAGGCCGTTTTCTGTGCTGCATCCTCATCTTCAGGAGATGCTCCAGCTGTAACCTCTCGCCTTGCTTTTCAGCGATGTGTGTGACCGCAGGTACCCCCGGTACTAACTGTCCCCTCTCCCCTCCCCTCTGCCCGCAGACGCTGCAGGAGCAGCAGGCAGCCCGGGCGCAGAGCCTGGCCGAGCTGAGCCGCTGGCTGGGCCAGGCAGAGGACACGCTGGCAGAGCAGCAGAGAGCAGCCAGCGAAGGGGACCTGTCTGCCTTGCAGCAGAGGCAAAGCGACGTTAAGGTCAGTGCTTTAAAAATTGGGCGGCGGGAGGCAGAGAGGCTCAGTGCTGCCTCAGCAGCGTGTGGAGCCTGACAGCGTTCTCCGCCTAGGAGCTGCAGAGGAACATGCACACCCGAGCTGCCTCCTTTGCCAGCGTCCTGAAAAGCACAGAGGAGTTTTTGGAGGAGAACAAGGCGAAGATGGAGCCTGGGGAGCTGGCAGCGCTGCAAGAGAAGCTCCAGCGTGCCAAGGAGCAGTACCGGTCCTTGCAGGAGAGGACGGAGATGGCCCAGAAGGAGCTGGAGAGTGCTGTGACTGCTGCAGTGCAGCAGGAGACTGAAAAGGTGACGTGCAAAGAGCTTAGCCCCTGGGCTCTGCTTGAGGTGGACAGGGAGGTCCAGTCAGCGCAGATTCATTTTGGGTCCTGGTATTCATCTGGGTCATGTGGGGTAAAGAAATTTAGTTGGATTAAATGATCTTCAAAGTCTTCTCCAGCCCAGATGATTCTGTGAAATTTACTGTTCCTCTCTGTCCCCTGGGTGAGGTGGGGTACTGACGCTGTGCCCCCTCGTGAAATGCTTTG